ATAAAAGAGATTTCTTTTTTTGCTTGAAAAACAGTTGACTGACACATATATGAGTCCATACAGTGGATGCACAACTTGATAGCATAACCTCCAACAAGCCACCATGAAAGGCATTCAGTTCCAAGCACCAATGACATTGACACAGTAAGGGCAGCCAAGCTGCAAGACACACGTTGTCCTGGCCACAAATCCCTTCTGGCCTATGAATGAGCCAGTGAGCTGCCAGGAAGCCATCCATTTCAGAGGAGGAAAGGTGGTCCTTCCAAGGAAGGGAGGGAGGACTTTCAGTTGCACATTGCTCATCAAAGCTGCATAAAAAATAATAATAACTATGTTTTGATCTATCGTGTAAAGACGGAAGGGGCAGAGAACAGACCTGTGAGGGTAGGGTACTTGAAGCTTTCCACAAGCAGGGCTCCTAGATTTAATAACACTTGGGACTGGGGGGTGATTTCCCTGGGGGAATGGTGGAGGAAAGAACTGACCTCCCTTGCCCCAACACCATGGACTCACCCAGACTAACCCCTCTCTTGTAGATGCTTTTAAAAATTACAATAGTGTTGAATGTTCTTCTCATTGTTCAAGGGTGTCTATGCTTCCAGGACAAGTCCACCAAGTCAATAGGAACTACAAATATCACTTTGTGTGCCTGAAGTTGTATTGTTGCTAGTGTTGAATTTTCTTCTCAATTGTTCAAGGGTGTCTACACTTCCAAGACAGGTCCACCAAGTCAAGGAACTACAAATATCACTTTGTGTGCCTGAATGCAAACATGGGGGAAATGACCCACTGTTATTACTGATTTAATAAAAACAGAGTCCCAAGTAACTATCACAAGCATCTTTAGAGACGGAAGGAAAAAAATGGAAAACAAGGACTGTTGTTAGGTACCTTTACATCTGTACATTGTTACAGGCCATGTAGGTGTCTATATAAGGAGATGTGTGGGACAACTAATACTTAGAACCACTTAAGCCTGAGAGGTCCCTGAGGATCACCAAATGCTCCACCAACGAATCTCCTGGCAGGCACATCCATTACTCACAAATCTGCGCTGCTCCCACCTGACCTTTCTCTCTGCAGCTGACAGGCTGTGCCTGGGCCAGATAGAAAGAAAACAGAACTACCTGGTTATCTAAGCCCCATTGACCCAAGCTGCTCCAGACTCCGCTGTTGGCCTCTGGAGTGACGATAAGACAATCTCCTGGCTCTTTCCCACTGCAGGAAAGAGTTGCTCTGCCATTGCTGAGAGGAGGGCTGGAAACCATTTCCAGAGATAATGGAAGATATGTCCTAATCCAAGCTCCATGCCAAGCTGCCATTGAGAGGAGGAATTCAAAGCTGAAGAAGATAAGAATGCTTCAGATAGTTGCTCCCACCAGACAGGGTGCTGCCATTTTATCCCTTGCCGTTGTATGACTTACCACAATTCAAATGTTTCTATTCTTACTTCAGAGAACAGAAGTTTCTTCAGCTGAGCTACAGTAAAGACAAATGCTGGTGAATCCTTTCAGGATGCTGCATACACAGTAACAAGGAAATCCAGATGCTGCTCTGACATCTTTCTGAGCCTCCTGCCTGCTCTCGTAATAGGCTACATACTCACATAAACGCCTTTACTAGCACAGATTTGATTCTACGTGGATGGATGTGAGCCAATGGGAACACTGCTTCTGTACTAAGCAGCAGCCTCCCTGTTCACAGTTCTAGAAATCTGCACTTCTGTGGACACATCATCAATTACAGGTGTGGCCTCTAACACAAAACCCTGCATGTCCCCTGTGTTCGATTTTGATGCTCCTGACAGAGTGGCCCTCTTTAAGCAGAGAAAGGACTGGTAGGGAAGAGCCATTTCCTTCTTTTTAAAAAAGAACAGCATTTGCTTTATTTTACATGTAATTTACATGTAACATGTTGTTGGCCCCAAGAATCTGAGCTGTTCTCATTTCATAAAATAAGTATATACAACAAACAAGCTTCTATTTCTGTTGGTTGCAAGAGCATCCAAGAGTGTTAGATTTCAAAATAAATGTTTAAGATCTCATAGACTGTCTCAGTGGATCTTTCAGTAATGACTTGGTCAGATTCTGTGCACTTGGATGTAAGTCCTGTTAAACTCAGTGGGACTTACTTCTAATGCATATAGTTTTCTCTTCCTACTTCCAAACGCCTATGCATTCCAAATCTCCTCCCGGTAGTCCACAATTAGAAAAGCAATGTGTAAAAACAACAGATCGTCTGCACCAGAAATGTGCAAGGGAGAAAGGGGTTTGATTTACGTAAGGTTATGTAAATGAGCCTGCATGTATAATTCATTCAAAATGCAGAATTCAGGATTTTTTTAGCTGCAGGGTTTGGCGATTCATTTGTCATCTCAGGCTCCTTCTCCAGCCTCAAGCACCCCTTAGCCAAGGCTGCAGTTGCATTTTAAAGGATAAAGATACCAAAGTTGTTTTGTACTATTAGTGAGAGTATAAATATAGGAAAGTACACAGAACTAAAAATAGCTTCTCGAATGACATTAGCTGGCATAAAGCTAATCAATCCCCATCAATCTCTGGGGCACACATTAATCTCTTCTCTTTGGTGTAGCATTGCACAATTAGGTACATTACAGGAGGTTTAATGCTTCCCTCCAATGCATCTGACACTGGCCAAGGCTGGAGACAGTGGTTCATTTTTTAACAGTTAGATCTTGTGTTCCTTACACTTTCATGTGGCTGCAGAAGCATTTTGTAACAGCTGCCCTGACAAGATCCAGTGACACTTTGCGTGCTTTGATGAACCAAGGATGCCAATTCCAAACTATTTAGCTAAAGCTCTTTCTGCCTCTTGAGCCTGCTGAGAAGGGACAATGCAGCATCTTCCTAGCTTGACACAACCCAGAATTAGCTGCTCTGTGCAAAAAGGCTGGTTCCGATCATGCGACCTTAACAAGCAGAAGCCTCCTTCTCTGGGTATGCTGATCAAAGGGCATAATATTATTGACACTGGAAGGGGGTGCTCTCTGGTGCTTTGGAGTCTCTTCTCTCCCCCCCCCCCACATCCTTCCAAGTTTCCTGAAGACCTTTTGTACTAATATTTTGCTGTATTGCATATAACTGCTTCTTTTGCAG